ATTCTAGCTCAGCCACTGGATATGATTAAGAAGGTTGCTTAGAAATTAGAGAGAGGATCGTGAGATGTAATATACTCTCTCTTGCTTCGTTTCATCTTCTTCCAAGAGAGCGTTACATTAGCTCCAACCTTGTAATAGAAAACTCCGGTCATTAATTCCAGTGAGATAGTGGAATCGTCTGGGTTTGTCGGATCCCGCCGAGATTGTAACACCTCGATTTCAGGAATGTGGTGGTGCATGCGGAGATGTTTAAAAGAATTGATTTGGCCACCTATGTCACCAAAGTACACTTATTTTTTTGGTCAAACGTCCTGAGAAAACTCAACAGTTAAGCGTGCTTGGGCTGGAGTAGTTTCAGGATGGGTGACCTTCCGGGAAGTGATTGTCGGAACTGTGTGAGTGAGGACAAAACATAGGAAAAGATCATGTGGTGATTTGTAGGGTCGGTAAACAAGTCTTTAAAGCCTCCCGGACGTAACGGACTGGCCGTCGGACAAGGGTGGGCCCATGGGCCCGAGAGAGGACGTAAGACCCACTGGTAGGGACGATCTGGGCGTCTTCGAGATGTACTCGGAGTCATATACAATGGCTTAGGGGAACTCGTTAATTGCTTGTGTGGTCTCTTGTTTTATCTTCTTTCTTTATCTCTTTCAAATTCATGGGTGAATCCGTGTGAGTGTTCAGTGGACATAACACAAAGACATTAATGTGTGTAACAAAATACATATCTTTTAGGAATTTACCAGAAAATTCCCAGAAGAACGAGGTAAATTTTCTCCAAGAGTAAACTCGTAGGTCTAGGTTAAAAAATAAAAAAAACTGATAATGGAAAAAGGGTACCGAAGATGAATAGTTTTATGGGTTGTTGACAAAATTAAATAACTCTTTCACTTGTTTTATAATGAAAATGTCCTCTGATACTGTTTATAGTGTAACAAAAAATATGCTCGCGTGCACCTATTCATAATATGATGATGCATCAACAAAGCTTGTTGAAAATTATCGAAAATATTTAAATCTAGATGGTTTTTATGAGGCTTTATAAAATAGGGTACTTTTTCTCAAAAAAAGTGTAACAATAAGTATGATATAATTTCAAAAGATAGTTAGTGTATCTTATTATATAAATTATGTTTTTCAAAATTAGTAACTCACGAGATCTTGACACGTGTCAAGTATCTCGATAAGATTTTGACACGTGTAAGAAAGTACAACCAATTAGATTTTGACATTATGTTAACATAGATATGGAAAATTTTAAATCTAAAATAAAAAATTATAACCAATTAGATTTTGACATTATGTTAACATAAATATAGAAAATTCCCAATCTAAAATATATACTTAGATTTTTAAAAAGGTAAAGAAATATTTTGATATATCGCGTATTTTACCGATTTTAGCCGTGATATGTATTGTTTTTAGAGTTTTTTTGTTGTTTCTAGTGTCTTTTTGAGTCTTTTCAGGTTTATACACGTCCGGGACCAATTTGGAGATTTTAGATCATTCTGGAGCAAAACCGAGAAGTTATGCTGCGCGAGCAATCCGGAGACGAAAATACGTGTAGGTGTCGATCGACACCACCCCTGGTGTCGGTCGACACCAAGATCTGACGGCAATTCAAATACGCGTTTTATTGAAGTTATGAAGATTTGCAGATTCGCTCCAGAACTTCTCTCTATTTTCAAAGAAGTCCATGCACGTTTTTAGAAGTTATATATATATTTTTAGGTCATTGTTTAGACCTAAGCTTGGAGAGGCTATTATTCTCCTTATCTATTCTGTTCTTAGGAGCAAAACCCTGTGGTGACTCCCTTTAGAGATGATCTTTCTAAACCCTATTTTCTTGTTATATTCATTATTGATTTCTACTTCAATCATGTTTTTTACTTCAATCTCCATGTTTGAGTAGTTTTTCTTGTTAGGTTTAGGGATTTAGATGAATTAGTAGATCGATAACCTGTTAGGATTAATCTATAGAGTTCTTCACCTTAGGTTGTTCTTAATGCTAATTCTAGCTTGATCACCTAGAATTTGATCTTAGGATAATAGGTAGATTCGAGTGGTCATCTATTTCCTGAAATAATCTTAGGTGAGCAAAAGGACTATTCGCATCAAGATGTGGTTTAGTACTTTTGTGAACATATCAAACTTGTGTTTAATGCTAGTCTAGATCTAGGAATTTGCATCGAGAGGTGGAATTACTGATATTAGAATAGTTAGTTAGCGCATCGAGAGGTGGTTAGCTATTCATTAGTTATTTGAGTTCTGGAATAGTTTGATAATAATCCTACTTAATTTGCTAGATTTACTATTAGTTTATTTCCTGAGAAATCCCTGAGCCTGACGTTTTCCTTATCTGAATTTACTTCGATTTTAATTACTTGTCCTGCTTTAATTTTACAATTTTTCTGTTTAGCTTAATTCAAAACCCGTTAATATATTATTTGAACACGAGAGCTTTGTGGATTTCGACCCTAAAGTGGTACACACGATCTCTTATTTGAGGGAGTAGTCTTAGGTTTTAATTTGACTCGTATAATATTTCTTACAATAAAATAATTCGTTAATTTTTTTCATGTGTCAATTATTCAACTAATAATTAATTTACAGTCCACTATATTATATATTTAAACAAATTTAGCAATTCAAATTAATTTTTTAAAATTGTTAAATATTTTTCAAGATATGTTATAGATTGTGATTTCAATTGTGTTTATAGTTTTAATATTTAAAATCTTAACAGAAATAAATATAAATGTTAGTATTCACAAAAACATTCTAATGACATATCATGAAACTAAGTACGTAACAAGAGTTTTATTCAAAAAAAATTCTTTGAAATATGTAATAGATATATTTTCACGGGTAATTTTATTTTATTTTCAAATCTTCTATTTTTATTTTATTTACGGATCTTAAAATATTAACATGATCACGACACATGTCAAGTATCTCGATCATATGTTGACATGTGTAAAAAAAAACTTCTTTTCCTTAACAAAATAGGAAAACTAATTTTTAAAAAACATTTCTTACTATATGTCAAGTATATCAATCAGATGTTGGCACATGTCAAAAATATAACTTTTTTTTAACGAAGTAAGAAAACTAATTTAAAAAGAAGTATATATAATTTACATGTTTATATCTGAAAGTTTGTTTAACTTTTCGTTTCCTAAACCAACAAAAACAAATATATATTCGCATATGCTAATTTTTACGTGTGTTCTCAATTAGATTTTGACATATATCAAAAAACATTTGATTTAGCATAGATATTAACCAATAAATAATGAATAATGAATTTCAAAATAAAAACATAAGTTATTTGATATTAGTTTAATTGGATACAAATTGTATTAGTTGTTGTAATATATTATTTTTTAACTTTGTAAGTAAAACACACAAAAAAAATGAGCTTATAAAAATGAATGTTTTCTTTGTCCAAAAAAATGAATGTTTGAATACTTAATGAAAATATTAGTATATACATATTTTTTATATAGATTTTAATGCATGTAATCATATGTGAAAACATAAAATATTTGGAACAAAATTAGGCTATAGAAATGAACTTTCTATTACTTGATTAAGACAATGTTGGATTTCCAAATTTCTTTGTGAATCTCTACAATAATTAATTGAGAAGTAGAAACGCACCATATTCAAAGTTAGGGCATTGGAGACCTGTGGTTAAAAGTTGGAATGATTTGTCCTAAACACCCTTAATGAATTGTTCTTCTCGAAATTTCTTCTTCTTCGTAATTAGGGGTATATAAGTCTAATCGTGTGTTGATCTCTATACTAATGTCCTAAACACCCTCGATTTCGAAATTTTTTGTTCTTAATTGTTAGGGGTGTATAAGTCTAATCGTGTTTTGAGATGATTAGTCTTAATCACCCTTAATGAATACACTATCAAATCCAGTTTTCTATTTTTTGGTGAGGGTAAAACTATAAAATCGTGTGAATTTTATTAAAATATGGAATATTTCGTTTTTTAATATTAAAATATAGAATATTTCGTTTTTTAATATTAAAATATGGAATATTTCGTTTTTTAATTTTTATAAAAATTTAAGATAGATACTAAAATATCTTACGAATATCTGTATCAAGAAATTTTCCAATTTTAAAAAATAAATTTTTAGAGATAATTATGATAGTGTGCCCTAGATTTTAAGCTATAAATATAGAGCCGCAGCCACACTATTAGAACTCAGATTCGTTAGCCTAAACATATCGTTTTGATATTATAGCTTTTTTTTGTTGCTTTGGTTCTTTTATGGATCGATTTTTTTATTTTGCGTTATTATTTTTTACTTTTTCTTGAGGTTATATTTGTATTGTTATTATCTTGGTCTATGAATTATCAAGATTGTTATTGTTTTGCTGATTTGTATCGTGTGAATTATGTTTTAGGTAACCGCTCATCGGAGTTTCTATCAAGAGATTGAATGAACGAGTTGATGAAGACATGCCTCTTCATTAAATTCATTAACAAACTTTTTACATCAATCGTGAGTCCTCTTTAATTTTAGTTAGCACTTCTCTTATGTCTCTTTGTAAATTACTTACAATTTTATAATTTGTGTTGGTTTAATTATTGATAGTTGTCTCTCTTCGGATCTGATGTAAAATAATTTTTTACGTCTACAAGAAAACATGGATTTAGCGACGACATTCAGCGACTGATAAATTGGTCGCTGAATTTAAGGACTGAATTGCGACATTTAGGCGACTGAATGTTGCCTAAACAACATTAGTCGCTAATCCGTCTGCATTTGACGACTGATAAAAAAAGTCATTGTATAGTCGCCAAATTTGGCGACTAAGTAGCTTCTGAATGTTTAGTCTCTAAAGTGGGCTACTAATTAGCCACGTTTTAGCGACTATAATTTCTTATTGGGCCTTTTAATTGGGCCTTTTAACTCGATCCATTAGATTTTTTGTGAAGGCCCATGCTATAAATAACCTATAACTACCGCGGAAAACCCTAATCTCTCATTTCTCTAACCCTAGATCCCCAATTCTCTCTATCTCTCGACGAACCCTAACCCTAACCCGACCAATTTCTCTCCGATTCGACCAATTTCTCTCCGATTCTCTCTCAATCTATCACAATCTCTACAAATTTCGTCGATTCTACTTCTTTTATCCCTAATCGATGGCTCCTCGTGTTCGTGGTGGAAAATCCAAAGGAAGAGGAAGAGGAAGGGGACCGCAGTCTCCGGCGAAGCGACCCGTTGTCCCAACTCGACCTATATCTTCCGGTGTGTCGACTCGAAGGCCTAGAAGCCTTCCGCCGCAGTACGAGTTCACGCCGGCGAACCCTCAAGATCCAATTCCAGAGACTGAGCAACCGGAGATTCGCCAGCCTTCACCGCGAGTGAGTCTGAGAGACTATCCACCTCCTCAGCAGCTTTTCCAGTCGGGCGAAGGATCTCTGCATGCATCTGGTGGATCTCCTCGAGGCTCCGGATCGACTCCATTTCGAGCATCCAGATCTACTCAAGTCAGAGGGTCTGTGTCCTCTGTTCATCGGCTAGCCTCCGGATCTCATCGCGCTGCTCAGTCTCCAGCACCGGTTCAGTCTCCACCCTTGAATCAACCTCGAGCAAGAGCTTCTGTGTCTGGCCACAATTCTCAAGCTCAAAACGTAGAGGATGAAGAAGATGAAGAAGATGAAGAAGGTGAAGAAGGTGAATCGGAGGAAGAAGGTTTGAGGGAATCAACTCTCCCGGAAGATGTGCTCGCTACATTAAATGATCTCCTTTCCCTGCCAGGCCGTGAGCTCTATACCACTGTCATCTCTCCGACATTGGAGCCTGGAACGACATGGTAGGTTTCACGACTCTGCTTAGTTAGTATATAGGTTAGTCTATTTTTAATACTTGTTATGTCTGTTTAGGTATACTTTGTATCCTTTTGGGTATAGTTTAGGTCATTTAGGTATGTTTAGATATGTTTAGGTATAGTTTGTGTATTTTTAGTATAGTTTGTGTATTTTTTGGTATAGTTTAGGTCAGTTTAGGTCTAGATTGTGTCTGGTTTTGTATAGTTTGTGTCTTTTTAGGTATGTTTAGATATGTTTAGGTATACTTTGTCTTTGTTTAGGTATAGTTTGTGTCTGTTTTAGTATAGTTTAGGTTAACTTTGTGTCTGTCTTCATCTAGTTTTGTGTCTGTCTTAGTATAGTTTTGTGTCTGTTTTAGTATTGTTTTGTGTCTGTTTTAGTATAGTCTGTTAGGTCTACATATAGATTAGGTCTTCTTGTTATCAATTGGAATTCATAGCTAACTGTATTATGTTTTCTTGTAGGTTTGGTAAGGATAAGGGTAAGCTGACCTGGAAGATCACTAAGTGTTTTACAAACAAGTTTGATGGACCATACTACAGTTGGAGCTGTGTGCCAACTGGAAGAAGAGAAAGATACTTTCTTGAATTCGCGGTAAACTTCTATCCCTCTTCTACTACTGTTTTGTTTTGTTTGATAATGTTTTGTTTTTTCTGATAACTAACATCTCCTCTATGTTTTGTAGAAAACACACACCTGGCATCCTTCACACACAGGTGTGATTGAAGCCAAGTTCTATAAGATCATTGCACTGCGTTTGAAAGACATGGTTAGTAAGGCAGGGTCAAAAAAAGTGAGGCCGTCTTGGATTGAGAGAACTCTGTGGAGAAAGATGTGTAAGTATTGGGCTACTGAAGAAGCCCAATCCAAGAGTTCAACCACATCAGCAGCTAGGATGTCTGACCGTAATGGTCTTGGTCCTCACAAGCATGTTTCTGGTCCAAAGTCCTTTTTACAAGTGGAGCAAGAGATGGTAAGTTACATGTCTGTTTTAAATACTTGTTTTGTTTATTACTTGCTGACATCTCTGTTACTATATTTCAGGAAGTTGAATTGGGAAGACCTCCTACTATTGGAGAAGTGTTCATCAGAACTCATACCAAGAAGGATGGGACATTTGTGGATAGGAAGGCGCAGGAAATCCATGAGGCATATCTCAAGAACAAGGCAGCTAAGTTGGCTGCCCTGCAAGAGAATGATGAACTGTCTGATGGTAATTCGCGTCAGTCTGAGCTGTCTCATGAGGAGGATGATGAGATATTTCTTCAGGTAGTAGTCTTGTCTTTTGCTCTGTAGTCTACTTTTATCTGTTAAGCACTAATGTTTTTACTTTGTTTTGCAGTCTACTGTCACAAATGATAGAGGGGATTACTTTGGAATTGGCAGCTTAGGGGTTTACATCAACGGGAAGCGCAAGTACGCAGGAAGCAGCTCTTCTTTCACAACCCTGCAGTCACAGCTTGAGGATGCTAACCGCAAGATAGAGGAACAAGCAGCTTTACAAGCAGCACGTGAAGCAGAGGCATTGCGGGTCACAGCATCACAAGCAGCTGAGATCAAGCATTTGTCGATGGTGAAGAAGTACCTGAGTGAAACTGACCCTAATTTCCTGGCCTTCCTCAATTCCCAATCAACTCCTGCTGCGGAGGATGATCATTCAGAGGTCCAACCAAATCCAACTCCTGCTGCTAATGCTGATGGTACTACTCCTGCTACTTAGCTTTCTCTCCTCTTAACTCAAAAACTTGAACTTGATCTTTTGGTCTTGTACTTATGGTACAAGTATGTTTGTATTTATGTCTTGTGAACTTGATATTTTGGACTTGTACTTTTGGTCTTGTGAACTTGTATGTTTTTATGTTTATTAAGAACTTCTTTTAATTCAAAAGTTGTTTTTGTATGTTTGGTTTTAATTAGTAATTGCAAACGTAATTGGAATCAAAATAAGCAGGCAAAATCGATAAATAAACCTCCAGTAAGTCGCAAAACGATAGCAATTCAGTCACTAAAGCATTCATAAAACAGTCGCCTTGTAGTGTCTTTTTGTCGATTCCGCAGTCACCAATTAGTCGCCAAAACAGTCGCCAAATAGTGACCTATTAGTAGCAAAACAGTCGCCAATTTAGCGACGCATACGCGACGTAACGGCGACTTAAAATAGTTGTCGCAGAATGGTCGCTATTTAGCGACTATTAGGCTACTATTAATTTTAGCGACGCAGTGTTCGGCGACAACGTTTATTAGTCGCTAATTAGTCGTTATTATGTGTTTAGCGACTCTTTAATGACGTTTCTTGTAGTCGCTAAATCCATGTTTTCTTGTAGTGTGCACTACATAACGAAATAATTTTTTTTTGTCAACGTTACTCATAGTTTTTGTGTTTTTGAAGGCGGAGCATTGCGCTGATGCGGAAGTGATTTACAAGTTTTTGGAGGTCAATGAGATTGATAAGGTATATTATAATCGACTATGTTTTAGATTTGTTTTGGTTTTTTCTTTTTATTTTGTATATTGGTTGTTGATTATTTTCTTTGATTATTTGTGTGATTGAGACTTTTTGTTTTTAGAATATTTGTTATTCGTAGAAATAATTATGTCGTGTTATTATATGAAAGATTTGATAAATTATTGGAACTATGTTGTTCAAGGTTCTCGAAGAACTCATCTCTACGTTTAAATCGATCTGATATAAACATGTATTTTTGTATATTAATATTTCTTAATTTTATGAGATTTTTTTTTATTATTAGATGACTACGAGAAGGTAATCTCTAATCTACTATTTTTATTTGTATTTTGTTATTAATTATTTATATGCTTTCTTTTGTTTTTTAGAAACTCTAACATTAATTTGCTTTCTAAAACATATTGAGTCTATTTTTAAGCTCGGGAAAAAACAGAGTTCTCTAAAACGATATCGGCCGAGATTGCATAGGTATGTCTATCGTGATGAAATTGTTAAATAGATACTGGGCTTTTAAGCAATTCTATCACTTTGAATCCTTGTAATCGTGAGAGAAAAGTTTAGGGTTTGATTGTTTCAGTTTTGATTAGTGAATTGAAAGATGCCGCAATTTCCACATATGATTTTTACGTTCAATCATAATTTGGATGTGTGGAAATTAATACTTGAATCGATGGAGAGAAGATTACAACTGACGTGTGAGTTAATTTGTGTATTTTATGGTACATGTTTTCGTCATGGATCAAAAAGTTCAATCCCATCTTTATAGGAGTTAGGCTTTCATCTAACCTCTTTTATATTTGCTAGATTGTTTGTTGTGTAATTTTTTTAATTTTAGATTCAAATATATATTTTTTAATTTCAGTTTTAGGCGACTAAAGGATTGAATATGCTATGAATATGTAATTTTATATTCTTTTGTTTATTTAATTGCCATTAACCTATTTTGACTTTAATTTATATGTTTTATTATGAGAGATAGGAAAAATAGCTATCCTATTTTGACTTTAATTTATATGTTTTATTATGAGAGATAGGAAAAATAGCTGATCAGTGATTTTTGGTTGTCGGAGACTTTGATCCGAATGAGCGACGGTGATGAAAATATGAGTGGTGGATAGAGACGCAAGGGATCGGTGAAGTTGTTTAATACACACAAGGGGTTTGGTTTCATCACACCAGACGACGGTGGTGAGTGGTGACGATCTCTTCGTTCACCAGTCCATTAGCTCTGAAAAATTTCGTAGCCTTGCCGTTGATGAAGCTGTTGAGTTCAAGGTTGAGGTTGACAACGCCAGTCGTCTGAAGACTGTTGAAGTTTCTGGACCCGAGGGTGCTCCTGTTCAGTGAAATAACGGCGGTTCATCTGGTGGACGTGGTGGTTTTGGTTGTGGAGGTGAGGACGTGATGGTGGAAATTATTAAGGAGGATATGGTGGTGATGGTACTTGCTTTAGGTGTAGTGAACCAAGTCATATGGGTATGGCGAGAGATTGTTCTCAAGGTGGTGGAGGATACAGTGGTGGTGGAGGTGGTTGAAGGTAGGGCTGGGCCGGATCCGGATATCCGGCTTTTTTAGGGTATCCGGATCCGGATCCGGATCCGGCCGGATCCGCCTTTTCATTATCCGGATCCGGATCCGTTCCACCCGGATATCCGGATTTCGGATATCCGTAAAAAGAGCCGGATATCCGGCGGATATCCGGATCCGGGTTTTTTTTATATAATTTTTTTTCTTAATATAAAATTTCAAGAAAAATATTTAAAAACAAATAATTTAATATAAATAATTAAAAATATTATTAAAAAAATATTATTCTTATATAAAATAATAGAATTTATTAATAAAATTTAAATAATAGTAATAAAATATTAAAAAATATTATTATTATATAAAATATCCCGGATCCGGATATCCGGCTTTAAATTTTCTATTATCCGGATCCGGATCCGGATCCGGCCGGATCCGCTTTTTCATTATCCGGATCCGGATCCGCCCCACCCGGATATCCTATTTTTCGGAGCGGATCGGAGCGGATCCCGGATCGGATCCCGGATCCCGGATAATTGGTCTCACCCCTAGTTGAAGGTACGGTATGTTGTAGGTGGAGGTGGTGGTACTTGCTTTAGTGGTTTTATTTGTTTCGTTTAATTTTGTACCAATCTTATCATTTGTATTAAGGATTTTATAACTAGAGACGTAGGTACATATGACAAATGTGAATGTTTTTATTTATGAATTATAAAACATGTTGTGTTATATGTCATTTAGCTTATATAATATTTAAAACGTTTGTGGATATCTAAGAAGTGAAATTATTGGGGCCGGAGTTATTTGACGAACACATCAATTGGATTTAAAAAATCTTTTAACAATATGCTATGTGTCATTATTTCATCTCATAAGTGATATTTCATTACACTTTAATCTATTATATACTTTATGAAATTTTTTAGATTAAATTTATTAGATACGATATCTATGATTCTTACACAAAAGATCAAAGTTTACAAAAAAATCTTTAACAAAATCTCTATAAATTTTGACTTCGATTTTATTTTGCGAGAATATAAGGATAAAATTGTACAAATTTGATAAAGACTTTAAAATTTTTAAATAATGATGTGAATATTTTTATCTCGAAATTGTTTAATTAAGAAAGTTAAAATTCGTAAATATTGAAGATAATGTCTTATGAATCAAGGATATAATCCGTCAAGGTACTAATATTTAAATAATTATATTATGATTATAATTTTTCCACCATGTATTTTATAATTTGAAATATATTTTTGTTTTGAATTAAAATTAAAAAATTGAAATCTGTAAGGGTAGTTTCAGAGAAGGATGAAAATCAAAAAAGACACAAAGTTCTTTTATTCTTAAATATATTTACATGTGATTTTCATCCCACATACTATTTTTAAATTATGTGTTTATTATATACATATAGACACTTATATGATTAATTAGATATTTTTTTAAATTGTTCATATAACTTTCTCTTTGCTTTTAAATTGTTTCAGTTTTATTAAATTTAGTGATCACTAGAGGAAAATCCGGGCGTTAATAATTGACATTTTTAGATTAATTAACTTAAGTTTAAATTCAATTTTAGTTATACATTAAAAAGTCATATGATATTGTATTTAGCATTTTAATAAATATAACCTATATGATACTATTAATCTATTCATTCTAATTTATATTTACAAATTGAAATTTATTTTTTGTTTCTTATTATTACTTATATAGTTTTTTTTTTCTCATCTATATAGTCTCTAATAATCTTAAAGGAAAATGATCTCTTCTTAATAGTATGAAATGTACCTTTTCTAATAGTAGTTTTAATTTTGGAGAAATTCCAAAAGCTTTTCAAATTTATCTTCTTTAGTTATGTTGTTAAGGATTTGAATATGTGTAATTTGATAACTTGGTTTCTAAAGTTATGAAATCTTGAAGAAAAATAACAAAAATATCATTATTTTTAAATAACCAAGCAATGGATTAGCAAGTAAAGAACGATGGTTCTTGTGTGATACTACATCATTGACTTTGATCGTGTTAAGAAGTCAATATTCAAATTCCCTTTAAAAGTTTTGATTAGTTTATTTTTTCACTTTATATGTAAAAGCTAAAACTTTTCTTTCCCATTTTATCAGCGGCTTAAATTTGAAATCACTTTCGGAATTTTAGCAGCCAAGTTTTCAATTACTTTCAACCTAATTATTTTAGTTTGTTTGGACAAATTTGACCTAATTATCTCAAAGCTTGAACTGAACGTATCCAACACATTCGCTTCGACATAACGACAAGAGCGGAGTAGGGAAGACAAAATTTTGACCTCATGAATTTTAAAGCCTTGACAAACTTGATATATGGTCATATTGAAATAAACTGCAAGCATGTAAGAAAAAAGTTAAATCTCAGTAATATGAAAGTGTATGTAAATGGGTCATTCTTATTATTTATAAAAAAAACCATTGAAACTTTTTGAGGAAAACCACATGCTAAATGTTTTTTAAAGGAACATTATTTCATTACACATTTTAATTTTCAATGAAATTGATTCCAAAACTTACGATGAAAGCCATATATAATACTATCAAATCCAAGTGAAAGTATTTTATTTTTGTTCATCACAGTGCGTTGAAGTTTTGTCCTACACATACACACATCATCTAATCACACGTATAGAAACAAAATATACATAGAGGGATGGATCTTTATGTTAGTAGAGCAAAAATACCTCTAAAGCGTGAACTGAGGTTTTTACGCTTCAGTTTTTCTAATCTAAGGGTTATCTTGGGTAGTCGGCTTCGGCTATTCGCTTCCAGGGTGTTGCGTGCGAGCAATCGAGGAACTGAGCAAGGTAAATGTTGGCGGATTCATGATTTCGGAGGATGATGCTGGTCTCTTCCACGAATTTGTATCTACTATTAATTACACTTTCGTAGAGTGAACTTCTGTAGAGTGATCCAATGATGTTGATGACCACGCCAAATTCATCAACATTTGAGAAGTAATAAGTGCGATGAATTTTGATTGGGTGGCTTAGGGGGAATTCCAAAAGCTGAAGTTTGGGCGAGGGGAGTCTCTTGAGTGACCTATTATATACTATGTGTCAATGAGACGTGGATAATTGTAAGTGGTTTTAAAGAGTGATGTGGCATCTTGCAAAATCTTCGCTTACGTGGCTTCCTCTAAAATGCTTTTGATTGTGCTGATGTGGATATATTGAGAGGCCTCAATGAACACCTTTTATTAGTAAGAGATGTTGCCATAACTAAGAGTTGATTCGTATTATTAACACTGCTCATGCCGCATGTATGTAATTTAATTTAGATCACTTTTTAGCTTTGTTTTGAATTATTTTGCAATATGAGTTCTACATAACGTGAGTTTATTTTGTAAGTTTTTTTTTTTTTTCTTATACTGTGGAGTGTGATCAAGCTGCTTTTGGAGAAGTGAATTAGTTCAATATGATTCATGTTTCCTATGATCACGATATTCTTCATCACTCCATCTACAAACTTATAAAAAAATCAATTGTAAGTACACGATTAGATTGTTTGTGTGTGTGCTTGATTTAGTGTTTGTAGATATTTGTTTTGTAAGCAATATTTTTTTTAATTAAAATTTAAAACAAGTACTAAACCCAAACTTTATATATATATATATATATATATATATATATATATATATATATATATACATATATATAGATATAAGTATTGATTTGTTAGGATTTTCCGGTTTAATTGAGAGTCATGTTTCTGATATGATTTTTGCTCTGTCTTTGTGTTATCATCAACCGGAATCAGCCATGGTGAATTATATAGTGAAGCAATACGTTGTTGCAATAGAAGGAGATACGACATTGGTCGCAGTGGAGAGCATGTATGTTATAGGAAAGGTCAAAATGGCATCGAAAACCCTAATCGGAAGAGATTTTTATGTGATGATATGAAATGTTAACAACGTTACTTGAGCACGTAGCTGGAGATGAGGATGAAAAGAACATGTTCTACATCCTTTAGTATCTTGAAATCTTTCTTTTGCAGGTGATAGAGAACACAAAAGTTATGATTGTATCTATAGAGGAATGAGAAGGAACAGATGGAAGACTCTTACATACCGGTAAAAGAAAGATAGGAGATAGCATTAAGGGAACGCGAATGTTTGAATCTGATACAGGCACTCAGTTATTGTTGTTGTTACCCTGAGGTCGCTTCACCAATGCTACAGTGATCATGCATTGGTTTTATCTAAATTTTTTTCGTTTAGATTGTAGTCATGCATGCCTTTGTTTATATGTTAACCTCAATTTCTTAGTCCGTTAGTGGTTTTACTTGTACAAACAAGGGAAATACCGCTGATGTTGAATACTTACTTCATATTTGAACGTGGAGGACGATCTTGAGACCAATGAAGATGAAGAAGAAGAATTAAGAATATTATTGGTATACAGAATAGAAAATGAGTGAATATTATTGGTATACGGAATAGAAAATGAGTCAAGATCATTAGTGATTCAAAACTGATCAATTAAATTCTGATATATAATAGTTATTTATAATGGTTGGTCCATAATGTATATTTTATTTTAAAATTAATAGTAAAATTATTTGATAACTACAGTATAGTTTAGTTACTTTATAAAAAAAACCTTCACCCTACAGAAGTTACATAATTTTATTATTAATTTCTCACTAAATGACAAAATAATTTTATAAAACCTGATCAACATGATAACAAAACAAGAGAAGCAAAGTTAATGGTTTTCGGGAGTCTGATGAAAGAGTTCTTGATAAGCGTAGAAATTATTTGTTGAACATAAGTTTGGCTATAACAATGATAACACAAAACAGGAGCAAAATAGCGATTTTCTGCAGCCTAATGAAAGAGCTTTTGATAAATGTAGAAATAGTTTGCTGAATGATGAGTTTGGCTATAACCATGATAACAAAAAAAGGAGCAAAATTGACGTTTTTTTGCAAGGTAATGAAATAGTTCTTGATAAACGTAAAAATTATTTGTTCATTGATAAGTTTGCCTATAACCATGATAACAAAACAAGAGAGCCAAAATTGACGGCTTTCTACAGTCTGATGAAAGAGATCCTGATAAACGTATAAATCATTTGCTGATTGATGAGTTTGGCTATAACAATGATAACGAAAAAAAAGAAGCAAAATTGACGGTTTTCTGCAGGCTCATGAAAAAGTTCTTGATAAACATAGAAATCATTTGCTAATGATGAGTTTGGTTATAACCACGATGGAAAAAAGAGAGCCAAATTGATGGTTTTCTATAGTTTGATGAAAGAGCTCTTGATAAACGTAGAAATCGTTTGCCGATTAAAGAGTTTAACTATAACCATTATAACAAAAAAAAGGGGCAAAATTGACGCTTTTCTGCAGTTCGATGAAAGAGATCTTGATAAACGTAGAAATCATTTGATGATTGATGAGTTTGGCTATAACCATGATAACAAAGAAAAATGAGCAAAAGTGACGGTTTTCTACAGTGTAATGAAAGAGCTCTTGATAAACGTAAAAATTATTTGCTCATGATAAGTTTGGCTATAACCATGATTACAAACAAGAGAGATAAAATTGACGGCAATCTGCAGTCTGATTAATGATATCTTGATTAACGTAGAAATCATATGTTGATTGTTGAGTTTGGCTATAACAATGATAACGGAAAAAATGAGCAAAAGTGACAGTTTTCTGAAGGCTCATGAAAAAGCTCTTG